CCAGAGGGGCTGAAGCTGGAATTCCTCATTTCTGCCCCGACTCCGTGCAGGAAACATCGATCCCTCCCCTCCCTGTTCCCTCTGGGATCCTGCTCTGCTCCCTGGCTTTTGTTTTCCTTCTCTCCCATATTTTTGTATCAGGCTCCTGTTTCCCTCTTTTCCTCCTGGACCTGCCTCCCTGTTTTATTTCTGTTTTCCTCCTGGACCTACTTCCCTGTTTTATTTCTGTTTTCCTCCTGGTCCTGCTTCCCTGCTTTATTTCTGTTTTTCTTCTGGTCCTGCTTCCCTTTTTCTCCCAGTCCTGCCTCCCTGTTTTCCTCCTCATTTTCCTCCCTGGACCTGCCTCCATTTTTCTCTCTGTTTTTCTTCTGGTCTTCTCTCTGTTTTCCTCCCTATTTTTCTCCCCAGCCCTTCTTCCATATTTTTCTCCCCGTTTTCATCCCCAGTCCTTATTCCCTATATTCCTCCCCATTTCCCTCCGTTTTATCCTTATTTTTCTCCCCCTTTTTCTTCCTATTTTCCATCCCAGTTCTGCCTCTATTTTCCTCTCAGGTCCTGTTTTACTCCCTGGTTCTGCTTTCCCGTGTTCCTCTGGGATCCCACTTTTCTCCTCCCAATTTTCCTCCCAGTCCTGCCTCCCTATTTTCATCCCTGGTTTTCTCCCCGTTTTTCTTTTCAGATTCTGACTCCTTATTTTCCTCCCCAGCCCTTCTTCCCTATTTTCCTCCCAGTTTTCCACCCCGTTCCTGCCTCCCCATTTTTCTCCCTGTTTTCCTCCCTATCTATTTTTCTCCCTATTTTCCTCCCTGGTCCTTCCTCCCAATTTTTTCCCCTGTTTTCTTCCCTGTTTTCCACCCCGCTCCTGCCTCCCTGTTTTTCCCCGTTTTCCTCCCCGGTCTTTATTCTCTATGTTCCTCCTTCTTTTCCTCCCCGTTTCCCTCCCTGTCTTCATCCTTATTTTTCTCCCCATTTTCCTCTCGGGTCCTGCTTCTCTCCCGGGTTTCCTCCCTGGTTTTTTCCCGAGTTTTCTCCCTCTTTTTCTCCCTGGTTCTGCTTTCCTGTGTTCCTCTGGGATCCCACTTTTCTCTTCTCCTCCCCAATTCTGCCTCCCTATTTTTAATCCCTGTTTTTCTCCCTGTTTTTCTTTTCAAATTTTGCCTCCCTATTTTCCTCCCTGGCCATTCTTCCTATTTTTCTCTCTGTTTTTTCTCCGTGTTTTTCTCCCTATTTTCCTCCCTAGTCCTTCTTCCCTATTTTTCTCCCTGTTTTTCTCCCTATTTTTCTCCCTATTTTCCTCCGTGGTCCTTCTTCCCTATTTTTCTCTCTGTTTTTCTCCCTTTTTTCCTCCCTGGCCATTCTTCCCTATTTTCCTCCCTATTTTCCTCCCTGTTTTTCTCCCTATTTTCCTCCCTGTTTTCCTCCCTATTTTCCTCCCTATTTTCCTCCCTGGTCCTTCTTCTCTATTTTTCTCCCTGTTTTTTCTCCCTGTATTTCTCCCTATTTTCCTCCCTATTTTCCTCCATCTTTTTCTCCCTATTTTCCTCCCTGGTCCTTCTTCCCTATTTTTCCTCCCAGTTTTCCACCCCGCTCCTGCCTCCCTCTTTCCCTCCCCATTTTCCTCTCTCTCCCCCGTCAATCGCCCTCATTGTCCCGCAGCAATTAGGGAGGAGAAAGCAATTAAGCAGCTGCGGGGGGTGATTAAAGAAGCCGGAGTTAATTACAGCGGGCGGGCCGGTGACAAAGCACAGGAGGGGAATTTCAGAGCCTGGAATTCCAGYTCCTTGAGCCCTGAGGGGCTGGAAAAAACACCCAGGAAAAAAAAAATTAAATTGTKAAGTGTTGCTGGGTGAGTTTTGGGGGAGGGGAATTCCTAAAGAGCTCCAGAAAAAAAATGGGAGGCGGGTGGGAAATTGGGAAGAGCAGCACGGGCAGGGATCAGCTCGGAGCCTGCTCTGATCCCAACATTTTTTTTTTTTCTCTGTGGGAGCAAGAAAATTATTCCTGTGCCAGCTGAGTGAACCAAACCCGGGCTCGGCGCTGGAAAAGCTGCCAGGAAAGGAATTAAATCGTTCCATGCCTCCTCCCGTCCTACTGGACACCCCGGGGATGGATTGGCCGGGAGTCAGGRCAGGAATCCTTGAAAATCCCTCCGGTCTCGCTGGGTGGGATCTTTTCCTCCCAAATGGAAAAATCCTTCCCTTCCCCATGCAAATGGGGCTGGGTGGGAAGCGGGAATCCATCCCTGGAATGGGCACGGATGAAGAATTCCTATTTTACCCCTCAAACCACGCGGTTTGGAGCAGTTTCATTGTGGAAAATTGGATTCCTGGTCCTACCCCAAAACCATTCCCGAAATTCTGCTGATGACAGCTGAGGGCTGGAGCCGGAGGGTGGCCCTGGGAATCGGGGATCGGGAATTTGGGATACCTGAACGGCAACACCAGGTGTTTTTTCTCCTTCCCTTTGGCCTTGGCGCTGCAATCCAAAGGAGCAATTCCATGAGTTGTGATTCTGGGATGAGCCCTCATCCGCCTGCTCCCCCCAAACTCATCCGCATGCGAGAGAAATCCAACAAATCCAATCCAGGGGAGGCAGTGAGGGAGAGATCTCTGCACCAGGGGTTCACAGGGATCTTTCTGGGGATCCAGGGAATTGGGAGGAGAGGTGGGAGAGCACTGGGGGGG